TGTGTGTGTGTGTGTGTGTGTGTGTGTGTGTGTGTGTGTGTGTGTATATATATATATATATATATATATATATATATATATATATATATATATATATATATATATATATATATATATATATATATTCACAAATTTTAACACTTTAACAAAAAATAAAATTGAGTAAAACACACACAAAATAAATTAAATGTAAAAATAATAAAATAATTTGAACAAATGTGTTGTCGAATCAATGAACGCCATCACTTATAAACCTCATTGTAATATATTACAGCACAGATGTGTCTGATGAGGTGTAAAGGTGGTTTTTCCAGCAGTGTGGAAATGTGCTAAAATAAACACAGGTGTATCCGTTTCACACCTGAGAGGAAGCCCCGCCCACTGCTGTTTCCCCATGCCAATAATAACCTGCAGGAATGTGTCTTTATTTAGCTTCTGTTTCCAGGAACGTCTGGGCTTTACGACCCTCTGTACGTGATCATCAGCACATCATACACTCATTTGTAATATTATGTTTGTATTATATTATTATGTTATCATGATAACACTGACACCAGTGCACACTTAAAGGGACAGTTCACACAAACAATTACTATTTACTCTGTATGGACTCGGCATTTACCTGACTGAGCTTCTTTCCTAAAGAAGATACTTTGAAGAATGTTGAAAAACTGGTAACCATTTACTTCCATAGGAAAAATAAATACAATGGAAGTCAATGGGTACAGGTTCTTCAACATTCTTCAAAATGTCTTCTTTATCCTTCAACAGGAGAAAGAACCCCATAAAGGTTTGAAACAAGTAAAGGATGAGTAAATGATGACAGAATTTACACTTTTGGGTGAATTGTGCCTTTAAATACACAATTAATACACAAACATGGGATTTGAGGCGATTTAATTGAAATTTTTGAGTGAACCGACCCTTTAAAACACACAATTAATACACAAATGTGGATATTAGGGGATTAAATATACATTTTTGAGTGGACCGACCCTCTACAATACTCAGTTAATACACAAGCGTGGGATTTGAGATCATTTAATATACATTTTTGAGTGAACCGACCTTTTAAAACACACAATTAATACACAAACATGGGATTTAGGGTGTTAAATATACATTTTTGAGTGAACTGACCCTCTAAAATACACAATTAATACACAAACATGGGATTTGAGGCGATTTAATTTATATTTTTGAGGGAACTGACCCTTAAAATACACACAGATAATATTAAAAACCTGGGATTTAGGGGATTGATACCTTATAAGGTATTTATTTTGTTTTGTGTAATGTTTTATTTTTAATAAGCAATACTGCCTGACAAAACTTTTCTTACAGCTTACCAATTATCACTTTATTTCTAGACATTAATAGTGTATAGTTTACCACTAAATGTGCGTTTATTTGCTTTTTCAAATTAAATAATTTTATATTCGGGTTTATTTTTATTTCATGACATTTTCGATGTCTATTAATACTTTCTGATGGTTAAACTCGGAGTAATAAAAGTGATTCTCGTTAAATAACAGGTGTAAACAGGTGTAAAATAACAATAATACAGAAATATATAGGCCTAGTGTGAGTCAAGTTATGATGACATCCTCAGTAGACAAAGAGAAAAGCACAATAAGCTATAAGGTGTCGTTGAAAAGTCTGTCATAATGCAACCTTATTTGCAAAGAAACAATGGAGTCGAATTCCCTGACATGTCAGGCTCTTTCGGAGAATGTCAGTCGCATCACGGCGGACTTTCCGGTTTGTGAAATTGGCGCGCACCTGTTCCCGCCTCCGACTGGAAATGCCATAAATAGCGAGAAAGACAAGACAGTCGGACATTAGAAGAAGAGCTGAGCACAACAGCACAACAACACAACATATAAACACATTATAACACTGCAAAATGCCCGAGATGGACGAGCAAAGACACCCCGTCAATATTCAGCTTCTAGGAGTGATGCAGAAAGAAATGACCAAAGTAAGACACACCATTGTTTATTTTTTTATTTGATTCTTTCTTTCTTTCTTTCTTTCTTTCTTTCTTTCTTTCTTTCTTTCTTTACTAATTTTGCTCACCTTTTGTACATTTAATGTAATGTGTACATGTAATTGTCTTGTGCTGACGGTTATGTTGATTTGAAGGATCATTAAATTTGCTATAAATATGTGACACCCTGCATCATAAAAGCAGTCAAGTTTCTTTTTTTCTAATGTATAAAAATAGTCTTACATTAAATCTGAAAACATATTTAGATTTAATAAATAAATAAGATTTCCGTAGATGTTTGGTTTGTTATGATGTGATATTTTGCCGCGATTAATAACGGTCGGCTATTTGAAAATCTGATCGTTAAAAAAGACGTTAGCAAGAAAAAAAAAAAACACAAAAAAATCTAACGTTAAATATCGAGAAAATCGACTTTAAAGTTTTTAGAAATGAACATTTTGATATATAGGACATTTAGAAATATACAATATCTTTATTTGAACCTGATCTTCCCTTATTTTTTACATTAAAAACTATAGCAATAAGTGAGTATAAACAATAAATAATTTTGACTGATACACAATGTATTTTGGCTATTTCCAAAAATACATTTTCAAAATATAAACCTAGTTTATGCTTCAGGGCCACAAATATTGCATTTTAGGCATTTTACATATTTATCAATCATAGGTTTTATTTGATCTCATAACTAATTCAAATAAAAATGACACCACAATGGCTCTAAAAACATGTAACCTTAAAATGTGCTTATTTAAAGTGTAAGTTTGTGTTAATCTTATTTAATAGTGATTACCTAAATGCACAGTAGTTTAAATGGTAATACCGTACGTTAAGGTTGTGTTTTAGTTAATGTTACTTAATACTAGCACAAACAAACAATATTACCGTATTTATTCATTTCTGTTAGTCAGAGAAACAGTTAGTGAGTTTTTCCTTAAAGCAAGGAGAATACTCTGCCAATGGGGTCGATAAAACAACATTATTTGCTTGTTTTAAGGAAAAACTCATTTTTTGACTCATTATTTCTGAAAACAAGACTATAATTTCTGCTTGTCTAGAAAAAGCTTCTTGATTTACAAATTTTTAGATATTTGGACCAGAAACAAGACATGATAAACACATTTTATTGCATTGTAATGTTATTTATTTATAGAAATATGGATATTAATATACACTCTTCTCCTCCTCAGCTGTACATGACCACAGTCCTCTGGTCAGATGGAAATGAGATTACCGTCTACAGATCGCTGGAAGACTTCAAGAAAATGCATGTGAGTGCTCTTCTTTAATTAATTTTATCACAATTAATAAGAGTTATGTGTTACTGTAGGGAAGTGTATTCAAATATTCAAAGAAGCCATGCATTCAGGGATTTTTTCACTTGTTTTCTTGTGATCTTGATGTAACAAAAAAAAAAATGTTTTCTCATTATCAAGACCTAATTTTTTTGCTTTTATTTATTTGTGTATTTATTATTATTTATTCATTATTATTTATTTATTAAGGAAACAAGTTTAATATGTTCAGGTAATGAAAATATTAAGTTGTGATCATGAAAAAACAAGAAAAAAAATATATAATGCTTCTGTAATATTGACTTTAATTCAGTTCAGTAACAATTGCATTTATCTGAGCTATTTTTATTGTAGAGAAGTAATATTAATATTGGCTTTAATTCAGTATAGTAAGATTTGCATGTGTGTTTTCTGCAGAGACAACTCAAGAAGAAATTCCCTCCATCAAACCCCTTTAAGCGATCAGCACGGATTGTTCCCGAATTTAAAGGTAGAAAGTTTTTCTGTTGCTTTTTCTGTTGTTTTCTTTGAGTATTAAAGGGTCAGTTCACACAAAAATAAACATGTACTCACTATTTATTCTCCGTCAAGTGGTTATGTATAAGTTTTGATACCTTTTGAATGTGTGTATATAAGCATCTTAAGCATATTTAATAGAAAACATATGCGTGTGTAAATATATTTATTTTGTATTTTATTTATTTGTGTGTTTATATATATATATATATATATATATATATATATATATATATATATATATGCATGATGCATTATGAAAATACTAACTTTTGGATGCTATTAATTGTTTGAGAGCGCTATTATATGAATATTTATATGTGCATATTTGCTGTATGTGCAGAAGTGCGAGTGCAGAAGAGCCTGCAGAAGTGGAGCGGCAGTAAATCAGTGCTGCGGATGAAGGCTCTGGAGGAATACTGCGGTCAACTGCTGAAGAGTGACGCGCAGGTCTGCCGCAGCTCAGAGCTCATACAGTTCCTGCTTCCCAAAGCACACGACCTCAACGCTGACTTCGCCAAAAACTGGTACGCTCACACTGAAACATGAAATGAGGGCGGGGCATATAGTAGCCCCTCCCCTTTAAAAAACTGCCAATATCGTTTAGTTACCACTGTGCAAGAGGTTAAGCTGAAGTGCATCAAATGAACAGCCAATGAGAAGAAGAGGGCGGGGCATGTCAAAGACTAGAGAGCATTTGATTGGTCAGAAGATTTGATATGAAAATGAAGCATGAGGCAACAGCAAAAAATGGTTGACAGTCGATTATAGTGAAGCGTTCAGTTTTTCTGCTTATAAAGTCCGTCATGAAAATAGCGAATGCGCCATAGCAATACTCAACTGACTCTTAAAGGGAATGAGAGATAAGACTCTGATTGGTTTAATGCACATTAAGCCCAAAACACACCCAGAACTCATTAAGAGAATAAACACAGAACTATTAGACTTTGCGCCTGGTTTGCAGATGGTTTTGTCCCTACTTAAAATAGCAAAAGACATGCTCTAAGCCGTCCTGTGCCATCCGCTTTAGACGTTGTGCTAATTTTAATGTTTTAAAGTAGATCATTAAAATAGAGTCCAGAGTGTGATGGAATTGTTCTGAATAAAGGTTGTGTTCTGTTGTGCAGTATCGTGATCATGCCGTCAGATGTTACTCTGGGCAGCAGTAAAGCTGAATCCAACAGCGGTGTTACTCAACCCTTCGTGACGGAAACATACCGCTGCATCGCTAATTACGAGACCAAAGACACCAAGAACAGACCCTTCAAGGTGGAGGTGGACGAGACTGTGGATGTGCTCATCAAGGACCAGAAAGGTGAGAGAAATCATTAGGGCATATTTCAATTTCCATATAGACTAGCAACACTTTAAAAAGTGCTTAAAGTTTTAGACGTGTTTCTAGTCAAAACATCTAAAAATTTGTTTATAAAGAATATAAAGAAGCATTTTCTTGGCCAGCAATACACAAACACAATTCGTAAATACGCAAAGAAAATTCGTAAATGCACAAATCCAATTCGTTGATACACAAAACACAATTTGTAAATACACAAATGCAATTTGTAAATACACAATCACGATTCGTAAATACACAAACACGATTGGTAAATATACAAAACCCAATTCGTAAATACACAAACATGATAAGTAAATACACACACACGATTCGTAAATCCACAAACAAAATTCGTAAATACACAAACAGGATTTGTACATACACAAATCCAATTCGTAAATACACAAACAATTTGTAAATACACAAAACACAATTAGTAAATACACAAACACAATTCGTAAATACACAAAACACAATTCGTGAAGACACAAACAACAAACATGATTCGTAAATACACAAACACGATTTGTAAATACACAAACACAACAAACACGATTCGTAAATACACAAAACCCAATTCATAAATACACAAACACGATTCGTAAATACAAAACATAATTTTTAAATAAACAAACACGATTCGTAAATAAACAAACACGATTCGTAAAAACACAAACACAGTTTGTAAATGCACAAAACACAATTCGTAAGTTTACAAGTAAAAATCATGAATATTTGTCTATAAATTGTATTTGTGTTTATAAAATAGCGTTTTGAATTTACGAATTGTGTTTTATTCAGAATTGTACGAATTATATACTCAAATTGTTGTGGTTATTCAGCTTAGGTCAGTATCGTGATAATACCATAAACCATGATAAAAGCTTCAGCAGTTATTCACAAGAAAATAAAACCAACTAAGGGTCTGCTAATGTGGATTTTCCCGTTGTTTTGGTCTCCTCAGGTTGGTGGCTTGTAGAGAATGAAAGCAAGCATCTGGCCTGGTTTCCAGCTCCGTATCTAGAAAGAGCCGAAATGGCGGACGACGGCCCCGACGAGATGGATAACGAAAGTAAGTGTGGTTCATCTGGAAATACAGCCAGTTATTGCATAAAAGCAGTCACGCATTCCTACACAAACCACAGATTATATAAGCTCATCATTTCCCTGTCACTATCAATGGGTGGAGCTCAGAGAGTATTAAAGCAGCTTTACTCAACGCCACTTCCAGCCGCAACCCAGTACTGGGAAACACCCATACACACTCATTCACACACACTCATACACTACGGCCAGTTTAGTTGATTAATTCCCCTATACAGTGTGTGTTTGGACTAAGGGAAACCTGGAGCACCCAAAGGAAACCCACGCCAACACGGGGAAAACATGCAAACTCCACACAGAAACACCAAATGACCCCCACTGTGCTTTGTTTATGTCGTTTGTAAGCAAATCTCTTCATGTTTCCAATCTGCAGGTGTTTTCTATGTGGCAACCAAAGCTTATAAAGCCACGAACAGTGATGAGCTGTCGGTGGAGCTGGGCTCAGTGCTGGAGGTGCTGCAGAAGTCCGACAACGGCTGGTGGATCGTGAGGTAATCCTGCAGATCACTCACTCACTAATGAACCCGCTGAACCAAACAGTTGCATATCTAGCTGGCAGAAATACCTGACATGCATAGTTAGCGTGCAGATAAGGTGAACGCTGGCTCTGGTTCTGCGTTCCCTTTGTGTTGGTGAACTCGTCTTGGCAGACAGCGCGGCTTGTTTGTTTACCTGGAAAGAGTGAAACTCAGTTAATTGGTAATGTTATATAAGCTCTGGCATTCCTCTGACGTCTTTGTTTGACAGCAGCACATTTTCTTGGTGTGATGAATTACTGAAGCTCATCAGACAATTGAGGGCAGAATTATTCACCCCCCTTGTGAAACCTTTATTCTTCCTCGAGTATTTCCCAAATGATGTTGAATTTCTCTCAGTGTTTCCTCTAATGTCTGTTCTTCTGGAGAAAGTCTGATGTGTTTTATTTGTGCTAGAATAACAGCAGTGTTTAATAGTGTTAAAGTCATGTTAAGCTCAATATTATTCACCCCTTCAGCAATATTAGTGATGGATTGTGTCCAGAATAAACCACTGATATACAATGACTTGCCTAATTACCCTAACTTTACCCTAACTACCCTAGTGAAGCCTTTACATGTCACACATGTCAAGCTGTATACTAGTGACACAATAAATGCGCAATATAAATACACATTACATGATATAATCGAAAAAAAAAAATCATCAACAGATTAATGGATTATTAAAATAATCGTTAGTTGCAGCCCTACAATATTATGCATGCTCTTCATCACGATGTATTTCATATTTACTAAAATATGATCATATCTCTACTCTCAGGTACAACCGAAAGGCGGGATACGTCCCATCCATGTACCTACAGCCGCACAACAACCCTCGGATTCTCTTGAAGTCCACTCAGAAGGAGATATCCCGCTCTACTCTTGATCTGGCACAACTCCAGCATCCCCAAACCCTGCAGGACTCCAGACTGCGAGAGCTCAGCAGATCTCAAGGAAACCTGCTGCTGCAGCCTGCAGAAACCGACATCATGGATAAACAGAAGTCACGTTCGCTGGGAAGACTTCCAGACGCGGCGAGAGCAAACCCTCCGTCGATCCGGGTGGAGTTTGCGGAGAGCGGGAAACAGAGCAGTCAGAGTGACGACAGCGAGGAGTTCAGCGATGACAGCAGCTTTTCCTGCAGCGATTCGCTCGACCGCTCAGACGCAGAGGAGTGTTTCCGGCGGAGTCGCACGCCGACTGCTGAAACTCTAACTCCTGAGAGCGCAGGAGGGATTACGGCTAGCAGATCAGACCCATGTCTTAATAAAATGCCGTCCACTCCGAAAGTGCCGCCCAGACCCGCCGTGCAGGAGATCCTGACCCGCTGCACCACCGTCACACGCAAAAACATGCAGAGAAACAGCTAGCTCAGATCTGCAGCTGAAGTCGTCCTCATTACAACATCTATAATCCACTTAGTCTATGCTGACGCTATCTTCAGCAGCTCTAATGGCTAATGGACAGACGGCTGCTTCTCACTCAGGGCTGCTCTTTATGCTAATGAGATGGAGAGATGGGCACTAGTGGGCGGGGCACAAAGGGAGAATGTCAATCACAGTGTTTCCAACAGAACAAATAGCATTAGTGGATGTTGAGCATAACGCCCCACTCACACGAGGCTTCAGCGTCAACGCTTGTCGGAAATTGGGGCTGACGCATTCATCATAGCAGATCAGCCAATGACATTAGCAATCGGCTCCTGTCTGAGCTGGCGTATTTGCATACAGCAATCTGATTGGCTGACGCTTCCGACCTCAACCCCTCATAGAAGTGATTTCTGCTTTAATAGCTGCCCTTTAATCACGTCACTCCTGTAGAGCGGCTAAACGTAGTATTGGTAACCTAGCAACCAACAATAAACAAGACAAGCATAATGGAGACAGCTGATTGGTTACAAGAGTAAATGTTACATTCATTATTCACATTAAGCCTCCAGAATCACCTCCAAAGAGCGTAAACAGCGTTTGTGTGTGAATTAAAGGATTTTCATTAAAAATGTACACTTTCCATCAAAGGTTTCTGACGTCATACTTTAAAACATGCAGTAATACAGGCGCATATTAACACTTTTATTCTGTAACTGCTCAGTTTTTATGTCTGGATCTGAATGTTATAAATGTTATGAATGTTTTCTTGTAGCAAATAAATGTTGGTTATTAATATTCTCTGTTTGTGTTGAACACATTTTAAATCTATTACCATTTATTTTCTTTTCGGCTTAGTCCCTTTATGAATCAGGGGTCGCCACAGCGGAATGAACCGCCAACTCATTAATTTTCTTTTAGACTTAGTCCCTTTATGAATCAGGGATCGCCACAGCGGAATGAACCGCCAACTCATTAATTTTCTTTTCGGCTTAGTCCCTTTATGAATCAGGGGTCGCCACAGCGGAATGAACCGCCAACTCATAAATTTTCTTTTAGGCTTAGTCCCTTTATGAATCAGGGGTCGCCACAGCAGAATGAACCGCCAACTCATAAATTTTCTTCTTTTCTTTCTGCCCTTCCAGCTGCAAGCCATCACTGGGAAACACCCATACACACTCACTCACACACATGGACAATTTAGCTCACCCTATTCACCTGTACCGCATGTGTTTGGACTGTGGGATCTATCACTGTATTGCACAGTATTGATCAGATCTGTCTCTCTCTCAGTTTTTCCACTCTGGAAATGATGCTGTTTGTGCCTTATACACATGTACATGTACACTCTCGAGGGTTTTAATCTGTGTTGTATTTATTTTCAGCATGTAAATATGAAATAAATGAACAAAAGCCTTGAAGTGTTTGTGAGATCTCTTCATTTGCGGTGGAAATCATCTACAGTACAACGAGATATCTGAAAACAGCAGACTACCTGCTTACAGAAGTGTGTTCAGTATGGGATGTGCCACCCTACCAAGGGCACTTCATAGTGAAATGACACAGCCCAAGGTTTATATACTCATGGAAAGCCTGGAAAAGTCATGAAGTTTTGACATTTTCCAGATCTTTTGGAAAAACTGAAAAGTTTTGGAAGTGATGGAAAACAGATATCTGTATACTTTAATACTTAAATTGACCAATCACATACTCTCACATTATAAGTGTGCTGTAAGCATCATCTAAATCAATTTTACATTAATATAAATATAAACTGGGCATCACAATCACCTCACAGTGTAACGGAGGCCAACTAGTAAGTGTGCAAGTAAACGTCACTCCTCTGACCTCTAATGCTCCATTCACACGGGGCTTCAGCGTCAACGCTTGATTAAAGCCGTGTCTGAAGTTGGGGCTGAAGCGATCATCATAGCAGCGTCAGCCAATGAAATTCAGTCAGCAATAGGCCACTGTCAAGCTGGTGTATTTGCATACAGCGATCTGATTGGCTGACGCTTCCGTCAGCGCTTGAAAAGTTGAGCTAGTCCCAACTTCTGCAGCGAGCAACGCCTCTGAAGCGGCGCTGACAGATCCACAATGCAGTTCGACAATGTCTGACGTCACCCATTCAAAGTGAAAAGGAAGCGTTGGCGCTGACGCCCCGTGTGAATGGGGCATAAAGGTGCTCTAGTGACAGATGCTCGAGGACATGTTCTTTAGCCTCCTTGTTAGAGCAACCCACTCCCATGCAGAAGGTTGCTGGTTTGATACCAGCTCAGAGCGGGTTGGGTTGGGTTGGGTTGGGTGGGGTGGTGTAGGACCAGCAGGATTACAAAAGCACTCTTGCTGTGAGGACACAGTCCAACACCGATGAGCCTCAGTGACCCCCATGGCTGAGACTTTGTATTAAAATACTTAAGAGTCTTGTATTTTAGACAGTATTGACTCATTTAACCTCCACTGAAAGAAGAACTGAAGGATGAGTACACTTTACAAACAACCCAGCAGTCACACCACGTCATGAGACGTGAATATTAGCTGAGATTTAGGTCATGACATCAGGTGGGCAAAATTCAACATTTAGCCAGGGGTAAAGACGTTATTTTGACGTCCAATAACAACGTCAAGTTATGTTGATATTTGGTTGATTTTAGGTTGTGTTGGAAAGTGACCAAAATCCAACGTCTGCTAGACGTCATTGTGGTGTCGTGCACACACGTACATGTACCATGATTAGATGTTGATATTTGGTTGATTTTAGGTTGGACGTTGACGTTGGGCTGATTTTCATTTCCAAACAAAATCCACCATCCCCCATGACGTTGGGGTACAACATCAATCTGACATCATGTATACATCCTGCGCCTGCAGGGGACAGTGCTTTTGGATGGATTGCTGATGATTTTCCACAGAAGGCACAGCCATTGTCAGTATCTGTGACGATTTGACTGGGGAGTATTTAACGAGTTCATCCGTGCAGAAGCAGAGTGTGAAAAGATGAACATCAGCAGTCTAAAGCATGCGCAGTGTTAAGATAACACGACGACGTGATGCTTTGTTTCTGGCATCCTGTAGATCCGCTTCACTGAGAAAACTGAGTGGGCTCCAGCTCTGCTCTGCTTAACGGCACAGTGATGTGTTTCCATTCGCTGCCATTTTCCACGTCACACGTCTGTTCTGCAGGCAAACAGAGAGATAAACCCTGTGAATGTGTTTCAGGAATAAAAACAGATCATTGTGATCGTCTTTAAAACAGAATGATCACTTATTGGGCCTAAATCCTGCACACAGCAGATCTCACAGCTCCGCCTGCAGTCAGAGAGTTAGCATTAGCTCAACTGTACAAGACCTGGGTGTCATATTAGACAGCAGCTTCATTCACAGCGGAATGAACTACCAACTATTCCAGCACATGTTTTACACAGCGGATGCCCTTCCAGCTGCAACCCATCTCTGGGAAACATTTACACACACACACTCATACACTACGGCCAGTTTAGGTGATCAGTTCTCCTATAGCGCATGTGTTTGGACTGTGGAGGAAACCGGAGCAAACCCACGCCAACATGGGGAGAACATACAAACTCTACACAGAAACACCAACTGACCCAGCCGAGACTCAAACCAGAGACCTGAGTGCACGGTTATATCATTTATGTATTTCTCCTGTTCAGCTGGTGTTTTCTGCAGTGTGTTCGACTCTTCCGGCACTCTGGAATGTCCAGTGTTTACCCGGGGCTGTTTGGTGCACACATTACTCACCGCTTACACAAGATCATCAACGTTTCAGGAAAACAGTGATGAGGAACAGAGAGAGGAGTGTGTTCTGTGGACATGGTGGATTGATTTCCTTAAAACTCGGCGTTACATATTAAAGGAATGTCAGCACAGTAATTTGCACATTAACGAATTGTGCCTTCATTTACGAACAGTGTTTAAAATTATGAATTGTGTTTGTGTGTTTACGAATTGCATTTCAATTTAGGAATTGTATTTTTTTTTATTTACAAATTGTGCTTTACGAATTGTATTTGTGTAATTATGAAATGTGTTTTAATTTTTGAATTGTTTGTATTTACGAATTGTATTTGTATATTCACAAATTGTTATAATTTGCGAATTGTGTTTGTGTATTTACAAATTGTTTTAATTTACAAATTGTGTTCACAAATAGTGTTATGATTACAAATTGTTTGTATTTATGAATTTTATTTGTATATTCACAAACTGTTATGATTAACGAATTGTATTTTTGTGTTTACAAATTGTGTTTTACTTTACAAACTGTTTTATGTGTTTACGAATTGTATTTCAATTTAGGAATTGTATATTTTTATTCATGAATTGTGCTTTACGAATTGTATTTGTGTAATTATAAAATTATAAAATTGTTCTAATTTACAAATTGTGTTTGTGTATTTACGAATTGTTTTAATTTACAAATTGTGTTCACAAATAATGTTATAATTTACGAATTGTGTTTATTGATGCTCGGTGTTACATATAAAATGAATGTCTGCACATTAATTTGCACATTAACGAAATGTGCTGTCGTTTACGAATCGTGTTTAAAATTACGAATTGTGTTTGTGTACTTACAAATTGTGTTTTACTTTCCAAACTGTTTTGTGTGTTTTCGATTAGATTTTTAATTCAGGAATTGTATTTTTTATTTACGAATTGTGCTTTTTGAATTGTATTTGTGTAATTATAAAATATGTTTTAAGAATTGTGTTTTGATAAACGAATTGTTTGTTTTTACGAATTTTATTTGTATATTCACAAATTGTTATAATTTACTAATTGTGTTTTAGTATTTACAAATTGTTTTACTTTCCAAACTGTTTTGTGTATTTACGAATTGCATTTCAATTTAGGAACTGCATTTTTTATTTACGAATTGTGCTTTACGAATTGTATTTGTGTAATTATAAAATGTGTTTTTATTTAAAAATTGTGTTTTAATTTACGAATTGTTTGTATTTACGAATTGTATTTGTATGTTCACAAATTGTAATGATTTACGAATTGTGTTTGTGTATTTACAAATTGTTTTAATTTACAAACTGTTCACAAATAGTGTTATAATTTACGAATTGTGTTTGTTGATGCTCGACGTTACATATTAAAGAAATGTGCGGAATCACTAAAAGCTGTGCGTGAACTCAAACATCGTCCATATAACACAGAAGGACACTCTTCACAACAACACACTGCTCTTAAAGGGACAGCACACCCCAAAAACAAACAACATTCACTCACACTTCAGGGATTTAAACCTTTGAGTGTCTTTCTCCTGTTGAACACTAAAGAAGATACTTTGAAGAATGCTGGAAACCTGTAACCATCGACTTATTATTTGTATAGTATTTGTTTTCTATGGAAGTCGATGGTTATCGGTTTTCAGCATTCTTCAAAATATCTTCTTTAGAGTTCAAGAGAAGACACTTAAAAAGGTTTACATCACCTAAAGTAGAGTGAATAGTGCGTAAACATTGATTTTTGGGTGAACTGACCCTTTAAATCCTAAGTAGATTGTGGTAAATCAGCTCAGATTCTTTACCAACAGCTGAACAGTTTCCAAACCCAAATCAAATGAACTCCCTATTTCCGAGAGACGTAAACATGTAGCATGTTTATTTGAAAGACCAAACGTCCACATTAAACATCATCCATCAGTATCCTGCAAATGCTGTGGTGACACAAGCAGGAAAATGCTTTATTGCTGTTATTATTATGGCGATATCATCAATATACAGCACTGAATATAAAAGAACAGTTTGATTGACAGCTGCAGCAGCCAATCAGCTCGCAGATACAGAGTATATCAGAAATGCTCCATCACTCAATATACAGCACTGAATATAAAAGACTCCAGATTGATTGACAGCAGCAGCAGCCAATCAGCTCACAGACACAATTTCCTGGAGGACAGAAGCTGCGGGTTTGCAGGAAAACTCTTCCTCCTCCTTGTCTTCATCAGAGTCTAAAAGCTGATCTACAGTGTTAGGGAGTTTCCCAGCAGCAGTTTTAGACGTGCAGACGGCTTCGTCCTCATGCAGACGCTGCTCTGAGTCTCCTGAACACTGCATTTCTTCATTTTCCTCCTCTTCCTCTGTGGTCTGCATGGGCTGTTTGTCTGTGATGAAGACTGACTGAACACCGTCATCATCTTCATCCTCCTGCATGTTCACACTGGAGAAACACATGAGAGCAGACTGACAGTGATTTATTTAAATATGAAAGAGCCTGATCTAACGTTCTGGGTCGTGGAGTTTTGTGTTTGATCGAGTTTACAAAAATATGGAGTCAGATCAGTGTCAAAAATAACACATTTACAAAATAAAAGTCACGCGTGCACAGCACAGTTCACGCTCATACAACACAAACTGTACATTTCATAAACACAATTCATATTCGCAATTCGAGAATTCACAAATAAAAATAAATGATATTAGAAATAGAAAATATTACACTAATTAAATTTATGTATGTACAAATTGCTTTAATTTATGAACGGTTTTAATTTACGAATTGTGTTTGTGTATTTTACAAGTCGTTTCAATTTACAAACTGTATCTGCGCATTTACGAATTGTGCTTTAATTTACAAATTGCGCTTTTATTTACGAATTGTTTAAAATTGCGAATTGTATTTGTGTATTTACAAATTGTTTCAATTTACAAAATATTTTTTTAATTGCTCAAATACAAAAATTTAAAATGAGTTGCTTTTTTGTTTTGAATTGTATTTTTGTTTTTACTAGTTGTGCTTAAAATTATGAATTGTATTTGTGTAATTATGAAATTTACACAAATGTATTATTAATTTAAGAATTGTTTTGTGTATTTACGAATTGTGCTTTTATTTATGATTTGTTTTAATTTATAAATTGTTATAATTTCCAAATTGTATTTGTCTATTCACAAATTGTTAAAATTGAACAATTACAAATTGTGCTTTAATTTACGAATTGTGTTTGTGAATTTATGAATTGTGTTCTAATTTTCAAATTGTATTTGTGTATTTATGAGTCTTGTTTTAATTTAGAAATTTTATTCGCGTTTACGAATTGTTTCAATTTAAGAATTGTGTTTGTGCAATTTACTAACTGTATTTACGCACTTACGAATTGTGCTTTAATTTACAAATTTTGTCTAAGTTTACCAATTTTGTTTGAATTAACGAATTGTATTTGTGTACTTACAAATTGTTTTAATTTACGAACTGTATATACGCATTTACGAATTGTGCTTTAATTCACAAATTGTGTTTTAATTTACGAATTGCTTTAAAAATTGCTAATTGTATTTGTGTATTTACGAATTGTGTTTTAACTTACACACTGTTTTGTATATTTACGAATTGCGTTTTAATTTAGGAATTATATTTGTGCAGTTACAAATTGTGCTCTAATTTACATATTGTATTCATGTATTTATAAAATGTGTTATGGAAATTAAGCGAGTTTTTCCTAAAAACGAGCAGAATAATCGAGTTTTTGCTTTGGAATAACACTGTTTTCTCTACCCCACAGGCAAGGTTAGTAATACAGTATTATCTAAGTGAGATACAGTACACGTCTAAGTGAGAACTGTAACCCAATGGAAGAATTCTGTGACGTTTGATTATTGCGGATGATTAATCAGTGATATTCATAAGAGGTGAAAGCAAAGTTTAACCCATTTGTTCTAAGGAAATTCAGGAGAGCTGCATTGTTTTCAACATTTCCTGGAAGATTACATTTCACAGCACATCACACACGCCGTTTCCACAGAACCAACAAGGAAATTAAATTATTGCTTTCGATTCCATTTAAAATCTGATTAAAGCTCACCCATGATCATCTGGGGAGAGTTTAGTAGATTTTAGGGTCATTTTAAATATCAATTCAGTCTTTTGTCAGTTTGTTTAATTATTTATTTTTAATTTATTTATTCATTCAACTAATTTAATTTTTATTGTATTAATTAATTAATGTTTAATTTATTTTATTTTTTAAACAATTATAATTTCTTTTTATTTATTATTTATTCATTTTTTAATTGTTTATATTTATAATTTTTATTGATTTTGAAAATCTATTTATTTATTTTTATAAAAATAATTTAGTTATTCATTTTTTTATTTATTCATTCATTCAATTTCATTTATTTTAATTGTTTATATTTATTTAATGCATTCATTCGTTCATTCAACTAATTAATTTACTTATTATTATTATTTTTTTTAATCAATCAATTAATTTATTCATTTATTTTATATAAATAATTTATTCATTCATTTCTTTTGAATTAATACATTTATTTATTTTACTTTTTTATATTATTTATTAACATTTATGTATTTATTCATTCATTTATTTTTAATTCATTAATTAAGGACAACTGAAGATCTGCTGAAGTGTTTCTAGAAAAGTGTGCTTGGTGTGTGACGTCTGAGGTGGAGACTATGATTACACAATCAGAAAGTGTGTGTGTGTGTGTGTGTTTACCTGTCCATAGCACCTGTGATGCGCATTTTCTGCCACATATAATCCAGAAACATGGAGGCCTGCAGGAGCCGGTTAATCCGCTGCATATGTCTCTCTACACAATACAACACACACACACACACACACACACACACACACACACAGATTAACTTTAACGCAGATGACTGACATCTGTTTGTTGTGTTGTGATGCATGTGTGTGTGTGTGTGTGTATGTGTGTGTGCGCTCTGCAACCGCAGTATCTCCTCCAGGCTTAGGTGTGTGTGTTGTGCACGTGTCACGCACCGGTGTATGGGACGAGGGCCTGCAGGTGTGTGTGCGCGCTCTGGAACTGCAGCATCTCCTCAGGGCTCAGGTGTGTGAGCAGCACCTTCAGCACAGCCTGAGCGTCCAGACAGCTGCGCGAGTTTGTGTTCCACACCGTACAGTAGCGCAGCACTGACTCTGAACACACACACACACACACACACAGAGAGTTACACACACAAACACAGAGATACACACTCACAATTAGAAACAAATCCAGAATCACATACGTATACACTATTCTACACCATTCTGTCACAGCGCATCCACACTGAACTAGTAAAAGAATAAGGGGAGGGGCTACAGGTGAAGG